TCCGGCTTCTTTCATCTCCTGCTCACTCATGCCACATCCTGATTTCCTTCCTGACGACATCATACCACCACGGAACTCTATTGCTTCAGAACGACATGCGCGTCTGGGCATTTCGACACTCGTTTACAGTTTAGCTAGCTCCCACTTGTTCCACCACCACCGACTTACACCCCACGGCCGCCTCTCGTTTTTGTCCCGACCAACACAACCAATTGACGAGGCACACGACCGATGAGACGAACACAATGAGGCTCTCCAAGGCTAACACCACCTTCTGGCTGATCTGGGCATGTGCCCTGCTGTGGGTTAGCATCAACTCCTACGACGACCCTTCCTCCATCTTCTTTAGCCGCCGCCGAGCTTTCCAACGAGACTACTCAGCTACCCGCGAGGCCGAAGTCAACGCCTACCTCGAGAAGCTCGAAAAATCACCACCCAAGACTCCCAGCACGACTGCCAAGGAGAACGAATTCTTCTGCGTCGGCATCCCGAGCGTCAACCGAACGGACAGGGAGACGCTGAGACTCACCGTCGGCAGTTTGGTCGACTCCTTGGTCGACGGCGAGAGGGCACAGGTACACCTCGTTGTACTCTTGGCTGATCGGAACCCGCGGGATCATGCCTCATACGGTTCTCGGTGGCTGTCTGATATCGCTGACGAGGTGATTGTCTACGACTACGACGGCAAGGACGGCTCTGAGGAAGGTAAGAGGTCTGTCAAAGAGCCCACCGATGCCTATCGAGTCATCCCATACGACCTTCGCCGCCGTGGACGGGGCGACGGTCACACCGAAAACATACACATCGATCATTCTGTTCTTGTCGAAGCTTGCCGTCACCATGGCTCCCCGTACTTTGTCATGGTCGAGGACGATGTCATTGCTGCCCGTGACTGGCTCCCGCGTCTCTGGAACGGTGTGGCCAACCTGGAGCGACGCTCGTCGCTGACCGGACACGACTGGCTCTATCTCCGTCTCTTCCACTCGGAGATGCTCATGGGTTGGAACAACGAGGAAATCCTGTCCTACTTGCAGATCATTGCCTGCATCTACGCTGTACTGGGTGCTCTCATCTACCTGGTCGTCCGTCTCCGCCGCCGACGCCGTGCTACCAGGCACAGGCACTACAAGACCCTGGAACTCCGAGTCCCACAGTCTTACAGTTTCAGTTATATGGCGTCCCTCGCCCTGGGACTGTGGACGCCGGCCTGTATTGTGCTCTTCTTCCTGGCCGGGCGTGTCACCCTCCACAGACTAATAACATTCGGCGGTGCGGGCATTCGGGAGATGCCAAAGTATGGGTGCTGTGCACAGGGCTACGTCTTCCCAACCCGACACCTTGAGGGTCTCCAGAACTTGCTCCGCAACCCTCCCTTCGAGTTTCCCGTTGATATGGTCATCGAGAATCACGCCGCTGCCAAGGGCTTCTCGAAATGGGCCCTCGACCCCAGCATCCTGCAACATCTTGGGATGGTGGAGCCTTCAAGCGACGGCAAATTGAACGCCGTGTGGAATTTCAGTTTTGAGAGATTACGATGAAAATATTGACCAAGCGGCGTTACTTGTTTTTACGGGAGGCGAATTCATGGGAACAATTGCAACTGGGGGCTACTCTTTGCTTTGGGGTTTTTTTTTAATATGGGATATCAGTATGGGCAGGACGGGATGTTTATAATTCAAATTCCAACCCTTGTTTTCCACGCAGGCGGTTAGGATCCGAGATCATGTTCATATTATTATTGTTCTATTTGGGATTGGTTTTTGTTTCGGGAAGAGTTTAATGGGACGCATCATGGCTGGAGCATACAAACCAATATGGTGGAGGGACGCGCAAAGGACATGAGGCTTAGCAGCCAATATTTATATAGCTACGTTATTGCTAATTGACAAGAAAAGAAAAATGCTTGACCCCGGCAGCTCGCTCAAGATACCGAACTGTGACTCAACCTCCCACCAAAGTCAATCGGCTCTTCATCTTCACAACAGTACAGCAAGTTCGAAAGGCAAGTATGTATGTCTATTAAAGATATGAAAACAGGAAAGAAAGAGAGAGCGAACGACGGTTAATGAATACAAAATGCCAGGCTATTTTCTATATGACTCTACACCTTAGTCAGGGTGATGTTGAACGCAGGGTTCTTGATGACCTTTGCCTTGCCATCACACCCCTCGACGACGACAAAATCAGTGATACTGAGGAAGTTGTACGCGGCGCGGTCGAGGCCGAACCAGGTCTCGCACGATCCCCCCTGCCAGAACAAGGCGGCGTCCTGGGCCTGCTTGGCCTCGTCCGATCGGGTCTCGAAGACGGCGCGCCAGGCCCGCTCGACGCTGCCGTCCGGGTTGCGCTTCTGGCGGTTGGAGGGGACGAGGCGGCCCTCGACGTTGGGAAGCTGGGCGTCGGGGATCTGGAGGTTGGTCTCGTTGACGGAGAGGGAGTAGGAGTTTATGTGGCGCTGGACGTCGAAGCCGCGGGCGGAGAAGGAGCCGATGACGAGCCCCGAGGCGGAGAGGTTGGTGGACAGGGTGAGGGAGGAGTTTGTGGAAGCGTCGACGTAGGTGCCCTCGTAGGCGGCGGTGGCCTGGTCGACGCCCGCGGCGGCGACGGCGGGGAGGAGGGTGGAGATGACGGCGGAGAAGAACTCGGAGCGGGCGGTGGGCTTGAGGGAGACCTCTGCGCCGGCGGTGATGACGGAGACGACGAGTTCGTAGTCCGGGACGAGGCCGAGGAGGGCGTGGTAGAGGCCGAGGTCGCCGGACTTGGTGTAGACGTCGACGAGGCGGCCGTCCGGGGTGAGGGCGTCGCCGCGGACGATCTCCCAGGGGGCGCCGACCGAGTTGCCGAAGCTCGAGGTGTGGGCTTGAGGATGCATCCACTTGCGGGTTTTGGCGGCCGAGAGGAGCTTGTTGTTGAGGATGGCCTCGCCGAAAGCGATGAGGTCGACCGTGTTGGAGAAGAGACCGCCGGCGCTGGAGGTGGGTGATTAGCAAGTATGCGAGGTTAGGGGGTAGAGGGGGTTCACTCACGCTTCGAAGACGCCCAGGGTGACGTTCCAGGTAACTTCTCCCTTGGGGACGAAGCCCTGCTCGGAGAAGGACTTGACGGGGCCGTTGAAGGAGGTGCTGTTCATACCAGCAACACTGTACACGTTCTCCTGGAGGACCTCGTCGAGGGGCTTCCCGGTGGCACTCTCCACCACCTGGCCGAGGAGGGCAAAGCCAACGTTAGAGTAGACGGGGCTAGTGTTCGGGAGGTAGACGGGAGGTCGCTTGGCGAGATCACGGACTAGGTCGGACTTTGTGCAGGCAACGGTGCCAGGGAGACCGGAGCAGGAAGGACCGGTGCCTTGGTCGATCTTGGGCAAGCCCATCTTGCTCCAGGGACCGAGAGGGTTGATTCCGAGATCCATGGCGGCTGTTGCTCGTTGTCAGTTCGTGAACATTCAAAGGCAGGAGAAAGGGGGTAAGGGGTAAGGGGTAAGGGTCTTACAGTCTGTTGCAAGCCCGCTCAAATGGTTAGCGAGAGAGCCGACAGTGATATCCTCCCAGGCCACCGCCTTGAGGGCATCGTCGTTGGTGGCGTTGCGAAGCTCAGGGATGTACTTGAGGATGGAGTCGTCGAAGTTGATGTTGGCATTCTGCAGGGCGGTGATGGCGGGCATCATCTTAGAGATGCTGCCCACACGGTAGATGGTGTTCTCGTCGATCTTGGACGTGCCGATGCCAGAGGTCACATTGGGGGTGAAGTGGTAGCTGAAGAGCTGCTTGTCCTCGTGGATGGACTTGACGCCGATGGAGAGGCCGCTGGCTGCCAGCTTGGATGTCTGGGCGTCCAGGCCGGCCGTGAGCTTCTCGATGGCCTTCTGGACGGCCTCGTGCGAGCTGGGCTTGAGGGGAGCTGGCAGGACCGGGCCCAAGGGGGGGCACGCCGCGGACTCGGCGACGGGGAGGAGTGCCGCGGCGGCTGACAGGAGGATGGACGAGGTACGCATCTTGACTGGAAGAAAGAAATTAAGAATAAGAGAAAGGGAATGAATAAGGAGCGATGGTGGTGGAAGTCAAGTATAAAAACACCTATTTGGGCACCATCAAGATTCTTATATCACCTCGAGCCCTTTGAAGAGATGTCGAACGCGCAAGACGGCGACAGCTCAGCCCCGACACATGCTTGATTCCTGTCATTTCCCAGGCCTCGTCGCACTTATTTCTCACCATCATCTCCACGGCGTCATGTCTCTGTATGCGTGCCACGCACCGCTCAGCCTTCTCGTCATCTCCAGGCGGGGAGGCGTTTGAGGAAGTGCGAGGCAGAGAGCGAGGCCGGCGAACAGACGGGCCAATCAACTTGGGGCCCTCGGACTCCAGGGCAGTGATCCATTAATAACACCCATGTGCCTGATCCTGAGTTAATTCCAGCCAGGCAAGATCAACAGCGATCCTAGCGGATGGCGCAGGCGTGGTCTAAGCTGTGAAGTCCGAACCGGCCAATCAGCCGGAGCCGCGATACCCCACATCTCGGCAGTCATGGACGGGGAGGATGGATTTCAAATCGAAGCAATTTCGGTATTCATGGTTCGGTATTGATGGTAGTTAGATAGTCTTCTATGACATGGGTTCTGGAGCTTGCTCTAACGTATTTTCTTGATTTCTGGACAACTAATTGCCGCTGATTAATCTTAGCCTAGTCCGGAGATCAAATATGGTGGAATGTGATGTCGTTGATATTCAAAACTTAGAAGATCCTGATAGCTATTCGTTTATTGTGCTAGATTGCAACATTAAGATCCTATTTATTTACTATAAAAAGAAAAAGAAAAAGAAAATTTGAGACCATTTCCCGTATTTAAATATTAAAAGCTTCAATCCAAATTGCGGTATTGACGTCCTGTTTGTCAAGCTCTAGGGTAGTTGCAAATTGTGCAAGATGTTCTCCCACGTCAACTGCAACAATAACATTGAGAGTAATTGGCCTGGGCAATTACTGAATTCCCAGCTGCACTCCTAGCACATGATCACCGCCATGAGAACCGCCATGACAACGGCAAAAGCACTGGTGCCTAGCGGCCTCACCAAGCCAGCCGACCCGTCCTTCTCGTCCTTCTCGGTCCCACTGCTCGAGTTACTTGTCATAGTGGAAGAATTGCCCCCCCAAACCGTGGTGTTCCACTGCTCAAAGCTCACGCTCGAGTTGAGCCTCAGCCTGGGGTTCGTATCCGCATCCGTGATGTTGGCCGTGCTGTTCGTCCCGTTCCAGCAGTGCTGATTGAAGCACGTGGTGCACACGGGGGGCAGGGTGACGTTGACGCGCTTCGCGCTCTTCTTGATGGTCGCGCAGGCCAGGCAGGCGGGCCAGTTGGCGTCGACGGTGCCGTTGCCGTACGTGGCCAGCTGGAAGGCGTTGTCGAAGGCGGCGTTGAGCTGGTTGTTGGTGAAGGAGTCCTGCATGTACGAGTAGTTGGTGTAGCCCGACCAGGGCGAGTTGGGCAGGTACAGGACCAGGGGCGTGCTGTCGGAGGCGTTGCAGCCGAAGAAGGTGGGCTGCCTGGTCAGGTTCTGCGTCACCATTGTCTTGACGTCTGGGATCTGGGGGAAGGGGATGTTCCCCTGAGAGGCGGACTTTTGGGTGTCTGCTCTCTGCCGTTAGTCTTTTTCCTTCTGTCGAATCCCTAGGTTCTTTTGTGAGAGGTGCTACTGACTGATGAGGTTGGTTCCGTTGACCCAGTAGTTCTTTGAGTCTGACGACGCTTCGTATACGATGATGAAGTCTACATGGCGCTCTGGGATGATCAGCGGGCGGATTGGATTGGTTTCGCCCGTTAAACTTCCGTCAATCTGTGATCACGTATTAGTCTTCTACCTCCTCATTGGCAAGATGATTGTTCTTACCAGCAGAAGCTCATCGACATTCTTCATGTCATCATTGTAGTCCTGGAAGGGGTTGGGATACGTCCCCCACATGGAGTCGTTCAAGGTCTGGTTGAAGTTGACCGCCGTCTGATTCACCAGAAAGACGAGCGGGCTGTCCTGCTGGCTCGGTGGAATGGGGATATCGTCCAGCTGCTGTTGCTGTTGCTGCTGTTGCTGTTGCCCCTGCTGCTGCTGTTGCTGCTGCTGACGGCTCTCTAGCTCCCGCTTCGCGAATAGTGGAATTTGGTAAAAAGAGTCGATGAACCAAGCGTCGAACGCACACCCCGTCGTACCCTGGATGAATGTAAGCTTGTCAAAGCCCACGGCGCACACGCTGTCGTTCTGAGGCTTCCCGTTCGACATGGACGTGCCCAGGTACTGGGTTGGCATGAAGGCCTGCACGCGCCCTCCCGCCCAGCTGCCAAACTCGAAGGGGGTCACCTCGTACGAAGTGAGATTGAACTGGTTCGTGCTGTTGAACCCAGGGTACATGATCTTGCCAATCTCGGGGGACTTGCCGGGGATGACCTCTGCCAGGACCATGATGGGCATGGGCGCAGTGCCGAGGGCGAAGGCACCGTTGTTATTCGGGTTCGCGAGGTCAGAGTAGTTGGAGAAAATGGCATTTTTAGGGAGCCAGTTGCCCCAGAACTGTCCAAAGGGGTCGACAACTGAGATTGGGAACCCAGCCTCGGCCTTGGCCCCAGTATTCTCAAAGATCTCCGTGAAGAACTGGGTGTAGTTGCCCGTCGGGTTGGAGTACGGCACCGAGAAATTGGTGGTTGTCCTGATCTGGGCCGTTGTGCTGAAATTGCTTCCTGCACTGCGAGACGCGTAATTCGAATATTGATTTAGCCTCTCTTCTTCCTGTATGTGATGTTTTGCATGTATCAAGTTGACGGTGACTTACAGTATTCCGACTGTGACGGCACCACCACCGCTGAGCCCTGTTATGTATGACAGAATCTGCGTGAGACCGCCTGTCCGTGAGGCGATGGCCCCGGGATTTCGCGCATCATATGCCTGCCAGACGCCCAGGCCGCCGAGACCCGACTGCGTGCCGCCGCCTGAGACTGAAAGACCGACAATGGGCAGATTGGTGGCGTTGATCTGGTTGATGTATTGCTGAACATCGAAGCCACTGATGTTGGCGAGAGTCAAGTAGGACTTGAGCTCAGGGATGATTTGCTTGGCGTGCAGATCTCGCCATGCTTTTTCATTGTCAGACAAGCCCTGTGCAGCCAGTTAGTTTCAAACAATGTACTAGAGTCATAATGGCATCAATTAACACACAGTTGAAGCTGCCCGGACGGACAAATTCTGGGGACATGAGGTGTAGACAGGAGCGTACGGGTCTGCTCCGGATCCCTGGGCTTGAACTTGCGCAAAGAATTGTAACGAAATGAAGAAGTGAGCTAAGACGCTCGGATAATTCATCATAGCTACTATATTCTCAATACGCGGGAACTAAGAGTTGTGCTGTCTGTTGTGTCAAGTTTCGTATCATCTGCGGCAACGCAACAAATTTATTAAATCCTCATGAAAAAGGACTCTCCTCATTATTATATGTAGAGCCACCAAAAGTTTCCGAATCACCCGCAAACAGAGTATCATATGAATTCTCTAATGGATTTGCAAATTTCTCCTCGCTTGATAAGCTTTGGCGGTAGATCACATTGGAATGTAGATCGGTTGGAATCCGCACGGAAGAAGCAACGCGCCAACTATCAGACCCCATGAGGTGTAGTGGGAACTCTGAGACCAACCAAGTCGTCTGTGGCTGATCCAGCTGTACTTGAGCAGCACTTAATCGTGAGAGACCGAACAGTCTATGATCTAATGTTCAATGACGGTGAGTACAGTAGTGAACTCAAATGGCCCAGTCTTGAGTTGGTACTGCTCCCATGGGCCTGGACCGCAGCTGCCTGTCCCAAGACCATGCTGCAAGTGATCCAAATTGAGTACTGTTTCATCAAGCTCCGTCAACTCGTGCGGGTGTTTGGACTTGTCCAAGTCGTCGGTCGCATGCTTCCGCAGAGAGAAGTGGAAGGGAGTCTCCATCCTCGCTTCGATTGTGGCACCGCCATGCTCGCCGGGTGTGGCAGATTTGACACGCAACCACCGGGTGTCAGCGCGATTGCCATTTTCCTGTGGCCACTCATAGGCGGTATTGAGCTCGTCGATCGACGAATTCCACCGGCCAAAGCGGGCCGAAGCCTTCTTGTCCAAATAAGATTCACCCGGTCCACGGCCGAACCATTCTGCTGCATTATAGTACTTGGGCAGCGAGAGAGTAAGACCGACCCGCGGCATGATTTCGGGATACGTCCCAGAGAAGCTTCCCTGGGTGTGGAGATGGACCGATCCCTCACTTATCGTGTATGTCATTGTAGCATTGCATGCCCATTCCAATACGGTTGGTTGGACTCGAACCTGGCTAACGATGATGACTTTTCCACTTTCCACTTTCCATGTAGCAGAACGAACATGCATCTTAGCGCTGCCGACCCGGAATCGTTGCCAGACGGGTGCATCACCGCTCTCACCGACGTCATTTTGGGTCAATGCTCGGTACAAACCCAATTCTGGGCCCTTGGTCAGGATCTTTCCTTTGTCGTTTGACCATTGTAGGTTGCCTCGGATCAAGTCGAAGGTCAGGTGAGACTTGAAAGACGGAGAAGTGATGAACAGACGGGCGCCTTTCTCGCGAATGCTAAATAGTGAACCTGCCTCCGACGGAACCGAGGGCAATGCGAGTTGCTGATCTTCGAATAGAGGGATTTGGCTCCAGGCCACCTCATGTCCTTTCTTCGCCCATTTCGTATCGGCCTTGAGGCGGAAATTGAGTGCGAACCAGGTCGACTGTGTACCCAGACTAACACCGCTGGGGAAGCCGACAGTGACTGATTCACCTCCCTTTATTTGGGGTAGCTCAAATGGCTGAGCCTCGGTATTCCCGGTTTCCTGGACTAGATGCCAAGTTACGTCGAGGTGGCTGAGATCAATGAATTCATAGTGATTTTTCAATACCAATTGATCGCCGTCCTTTGTGACCGTGACAGGCTCGATTACTTTTTTGTACTCGACCAAACCTGGATTTGGGGTGTGATCGGTCCAAGTCATTCCGTCCATGACAAAATCAGCATCATTAGGCTCATCGCCAAAGTCACCGCCATAGGCATTGTAGAAAATCTTGCCATCGCGGGTTCTTAGTCCATGGTTGCACCATTCCCAGATGAAACCACCTTGGAGAAGCTTTTCGGTTCTGAAAGCCTGAATATACTCAGACAGGCCGCCGGGACCGTTGCCCATGGAATGGCCAAACTCGCACTGGATCAGTGGTCGGTCTGGCTTCTCGGTGATGTGCTTCTTCATACCATCCAGGCTGGCGTACATGACGCTATACATGTCGGCGCTCAGGGCCTCACGATCTCCTTCATAGTGAACCAGCCTGGTCGGGTCGTTCTCCTTGATCCATTTGTACATTGCCGCATGGTTTTGGCCGTAAAAGGCCTCGTTACCCAGGGACCAAAAGACAATACAGGGGTAGTTTTTGAAACGCTGGACCAGTTGAACAGCCCGGTCAAGATATGCTTCGCGCCACTCCAAATTGTCCGAAGTCCATTTTGTGGCTAGTTTGTAAGATTCTTCTTGAATCTCAACGCGAGTTTTGAGATTCTGGTCCTTGATGTTGGATCTTTCGACTGGATCAAATCCGTGCGTCTCAAGGTCTGCCTCAGCGATAACATAGAGACCAAGCTCGTCGCAGACCTCATATAGGCGGGGATCGTTCGGCTGGTGCGAGCAGCGGAGGGCATTTATGTTGTGTTGTTTCATGAGGATCAAATCTGCTCTCATACACTCATATGGGACTGCACGTCCGTAGAGCTGATGATGTTCATGGCGATTCATGCCGTAGAAAATGATCGGTTTACCGTTGATGAAGAAATTCGGGTCCTTGCGCTCAATACGACGGAAACCGATTCGCTGGCCAATCGTACGCCCAGCAAAGGTCAGGAGGACAGTATACAGAACAGGATCCTCAGCCGACCAGAGTTTCAGCGCATCCCCAGTAACGGTAATGACACTAGTCTCCGTTGAGGAAACCGAGTCTTCCTTGATAAGAGAGCCATCGGGGGCGAGCAATTTGACTCTGAGATCACCATCGTCGCCCTGAATAGATGCCTTGGTGGTGAGGGTAGCAGAAGAAAAGGCATCGTCAAGCTCAGGGGTTGCAGAAAAGTCAACGATGGCGTCCTTTGGGAAAGGAACCAAGTAAACATCTCGGAAAATACCCGACAAGAGCCATTGATCCTGTCGCTCAATGTACGACCCATCACAAAACTCGTAGACCCGCACGGCAATGGTGTTGGCTTGGCCAGATGGCTGTAGAAACGAAGTAATGTCAAACTCGCTGGGATTTCGGCTTCCCTGACTATATCCCACATCGCGTCCATTGACCCAGAGATGGAATGCACTGTCGACACCCTCGAAGCGCAGGCGAATCTGCTGGCCATCCCATTCGCCAGGAACAGTGAAGGTTCGCCAATAAGAGCCGGTCTCATTCAGGTAGGGCACATTCGGAGGATTCACATGGAATGGATAGTTGACGTTGGAGTACAACGGTCGCCCATAGCCTTGAAGCTGCCACAGGCCGGGGACTTTGATGTCGTCCCAAGACAGGGGCTCGGCGTCTTCCCAGTCTGGAGCTTCAAAGGGCGAGGCATCGTGGTGGAATTTCCAAGTCCCATTGAGAGACTTGTATTCGCTCTGCTCACGGTCAAATGATAGGGCCCTCTCCTCGCTCGCATATGAATAGAAATGTGCTCGCGGGGAGAGCTTGTTCCTATGGAGAACCTGGAGATTGTTCCAGTCCGGCTGGGCTTTGGGGAATGACATGTCGAAAATCGATTTCCTATCTCCTCGGTTTAATTGCAAGCAACTGAGGATTGAGGGTCGCAGTTCAAAGGGTCCTGCGGATGAATGCAGAGTTGAGCCGGAACATGCTCCAGCACCACGTTACAGTTTAAATGGCTGTGGCTAGTGGAGCTTTATTCACCAGCGCAGTTGACGATATGTCGTCGGGCATTGGATCGTCGCTGCAGAGACGGACCATGGTTGGAGCGGGAAACCGTGAGGTGGTAGATGTGGAGATGATAAGGCCACACGAGGGGGAGAAAACCATGCCAAGAGGGCGGGGAAGGCATCTCGAAGCAGAAATGCGGGGTCTCTGCAGGTTTGGTTGGATGGCAGGACGCTCCCTACCGAAACTGGCGTGCTGGAAGCATGGTGACGAGTGAAGTTGCTCGGGAGAGGACTCAGCCATGGATCCGTCCTTTGCAGGCCAGTGACAGGTGCATGTGATGAATGGATTGATGGAAGAGAGCAAGCTGTGGGAGACTTGGTCCACTACGCTTTAGCTCCTTCCGGGCCCCTCAGTGGATGAACGGTGCCTGGAGCTGGGCACTTTTAGCGGGCTGCCGCCGGTCTCTACTGAGTCAGGGGCTGCCGGTCGCTCGGAGTATAAACGACCGAATATCATCCCGACCTCACACACACACATACACTCGCACAATAGGGAAAGAGTGATGGTCTGTCCTGGTTTCCTAAGCAAAAGGTGATTGTTGCCTCATCAATTTCTTCTTCTTCTTCCTCCCAACTCCAATTAACGTGCAACGTAATCTTCATAACCCATCGCGAGTCAGCGCTGGTTTTTTTTTTCTTCCCTTTTCTTTTTCTTTTTTTCATGTTTCTTGTCCCGTCCCATCGTCCATCATTGCATGTCGTGGCATCGTCAAACAGAAATCGGCGGCAGTGGCGCTCGCTATTGCAGCGCCTCCGGCCCAGGCAGTAACAGAGGCGGTCTCCCACTGAGAATCACCCCATCCAACAGCTCCAGTCGATCTTGGCCCCAGAAGGGTTCCCCCCGATAAAAGTAAGTTGGGGCCCCAAAGATACTCCTGTTAACGGCCTCTTGTGACAGAGCTTCTTCCTGCTCCGCCAGCCCCCGTTCCTCCTGTGCCCGGGCCAGAAGCCGACTGCCATCAAGTCCCGCGTCGTTGGCAATTTCCATGATAGTTTCGGGATCTGCGATATTGCCCTCATCTGCCCATACGGTATCTAGTCCGAGGCGGGCAAATTCCTGGACCGACTCATTGTCGTGTCCCAGTTCGTCGATGGCTGCCAGTAGTACTCTGTGCGCCAGCGAGGGATCGGCGGGGTAGTGTTTGGGGTGCTTCACAATAGGAAGTCCTCTGATGTTTGTCCACCGGTCCATCTCAAGGAGCCGGTACGCTTGGCGCTGGACGGAGCGCTCTTTCACAGGCAAACCGCCCGAGACGGCGAATACCCTTGCCAGGTCAATGGGCTTGTAGATGATTTGCGCATTGTGATGCTGTGCCAGCAGCTGGAGCCGTCGGCTGCCAATGTACGACCAGAGGGAGACGAAAGAGAAGAAGTACTCAATCACGGGCTGCTGGCTGGTCATTGTAACCTCCCAGCCCAGTGCCGCAAGCTGTTTGAGGGTGTGCGTGGTGGATTGCGCAACAGAAGGGTAACACATTAATTGATTGACTGGCTGATGGCTTGATGCAACGATAAACGGTTTGGTACGTCAGATTCGCTGGGAATGTACATGACAGACTCGTTCGAGTGTTCGTTCGGCTGTCTGCTCGCCAAAGGCCTCCGGCTGCTTTTCCTACTTCTCTCCAGAATGACGTGGATTGCGGCACGTCGCAGCCTTATGCTGCGACAGCTTGGAGGCGGTTCTATTTATTTAATAGCAAATAACCTAGTCGTGTGAGCATCTTATCACACCCAGATCTGCCCACGCATCGGTCCGGCAATCGTTGGCTCATCCGCGCCTGGGGTGGGTCAATCACGCAATGCCCTTCACCAATGTTGTCATTTCAGTCTGTGTAACGGGGTGAACCAAGCCTTTCTGGCTTGCAGGAACTCGGTTTGCCAGCTTCGAGAGAGTGTCGCGACAGGGGAACCGGCAATCGGAGGCTTACAGATGTCATCTGCAGCAGAAGCCATTGGTCCTTTATCAGCCCTTTGCCCCCATCCCGGAGCCACCAAGCAATGCAGCCTCTGCAAAGTCGCAACTTTTCTTACACATGGAATCACCATTGCCAGCTGCTCCCCCATGCATGCAATTCACATCGCGTGCTTGAGTCGAAATTGATCACACTCGTGCCCCCACGACGTGTCGGCTCTTGGTTCGATGTCGTAACCATCACGACACTTCTCTTGCTCATCTCCACCACCATGCCCCTACCGCCAAGGCGTATTTGCTCTCGGTCTGTGCCTCTGCGGATGGATGCCTTTTCCTGCTTAATGGGACGCCACAGCGAGTTTCCCCACTGCGGGTCGTGGCTGTCAAGACCTCAAGCTGTCCTGGTATTATTGACTGGCTTCCTCTAAAGCGAACAGGAGCACATGAGATGACTAGTTGAGACGGACCTTCCTGGAGGTCCTGAAAGGTAAGATTCATCCTTGAATAGCTATTCATTCCCTTCGTGATGCCAGACCGACACGTCCAGACGACATACAAACGTACAACGACACCTTCCCTCTCTGTTACTCGAAGATGCGGAGCCCGAATCCACTGAAACGCCCATGAGATATTAACTCGGCCTGGATCTGTCTGCAAAATTAAACCAGGTCTATGGAGTGATCTGTCACCGTCAAGTAGCAGGTTAGGTGGTTCGAGGAAGGAGGCCCTGGGCCCAGACTCTGCATCCTTCAGTCTCGCGGTCTCGATTCGGTACCTGAAGTCCGATTTCATGCTTCCTTGGCGGGCTGAGGGTAGCAACACCAAATGTATCGCATGATCCGTCCGTAAGCGTGATTGTAGCAGTGTCGAGACTCGGAGTGCACCGATCCACCGTGCTCGAATGGGGAGGATGCATCGTCACAAGCAGCTAAAGTCAGCAAAGGGGGTAGATGACAGAACCTTTGTCAGGCCAAGGCAGGTATGATGCCAGTCGAACGGGATCGCCAGCGTTTCTTGACGACTTGCGTGGAGGGCATTGCTGGCTACGGGGGCAGCGACCGACATAAATCATGGCACACCAGAACCTCCAGCGTTAAATTTCGACACAATACTAAGCTAAATATCGTAGAATAATCAAGTATTTTCTTTTCATCGTTTTATTTTTATTATTGAGAAAAGTAGGTCCCTTTCTTATGCGAAAAGGGCTGTTTCTGTCATGTTTTACTCCAGCCACTCAGGGGGATCAACACCAAGTCATACCACCAGAGACGCGCATTTCCTACTGCAGGCCGAGAGATACATCATCTACTCCAAAAACACCTACGGTAGAACTATATGCTTAATTATTACATTCCTTGGGTTCGCAAGAACGGAGCAAAACCCTCAAGTTGCATGTTCTTGGTCCAAACCCAACCCCCTGAAAACGATTTACGTGACATCGAGCGTGTTCATTCGTGAAGATCGTTCGGCAAGCCGTCTTACGCATCGAGGTAGGCACAAAGAACGATCGAAACCTGTCCTGGTTTAATTTTTGTCGAATTCGACTCTTTCTTCAGCATTAAAGCCTGGTTTTACATTGTAGAGAGGCGTGTGTAGAAACAGTGACAACCCGAAGAGCTACTCGGAGCCTAGCTCGTACCTACGATACGCTCCGTACACTCTAATTTTGCTTCTCCTGCGGAGATTACGCAGATATAGTTGTCGAGTGGCTCGCGTAGTCGTTTCGCATCGTGATTTCGAGTGAACGGGCAATGTTTTCGACGTGGATTCGGCCGTGTTTCGTTCCTAGGTCTACCAGACTTTATCCCGTGGCAGTGGACCAGGATACACTCTCGCAACCCGATCTTTCCTTCAACGTCTCGTAAACAGATCGTTTCGAAATCTTAGGTGTCGGCAGTTGAAAGGCAAGGAGAAGGAGGTTTCCACGCCAAGTCGACGCTCGCAGCAACCCCCCAACCGCAGGGAGCTTCGGGCCGTTTCGAACCGCCCAGGAGCTCGCGTGCTTACAGAAGTATTTTGCGGCTGAGACTATGTACACTCCTCCTCGTTCCTTTTCATGCGGCAAACGCCATGCTACATCACCCCACCCCGGGGAACTAGCAAAAACACAGCGCATCATCTCTCTTTACTCAACCAGATCTAAGCTATGTTCCAGTTTTCCACTTCTAGCGATGAACAATGCAGCATTTACTCATTTTGGGAGACTTAGCTCCATCGAGCCTTCTCCTAGCTCCCGGCGTTTGACGGATGGCGTCAACGGGTTCTGCAAAGACGCCATTGAGGATTTAAAGGGGGCCCGGCCGCCTTGGGTCCCACCCCGAGCGGCTAGATTTTCAACCCAATACACTCTGGATGAAGTCATTGGATTTGCTTATATTGACAGACATTGTTGTGATTACAAATGCCAGAGCTCGAGAGGGCTCCGATGCCCTCCTCCAGACTCGATGCGTGTTGTGTCGAAGCAGGAATATCAGAATACCCACCAGTGAGTTGGAAACTTCTTAGGTACTTCGGAAAAAGACATGGCCCGATGGAGAACAGATGGGTGGATTACATTATTTTCCAATTGATCATGAACTTGCTATCTATTTTGCTAGTGCTACCAGTCCGGGATCCCAGTCCCAGTATATCCCAACGCTTCGCGATCGTCAGACACGACCCGGCCGTATTCCAAGAGCAGTCGGAACATGTAAATCTGCATGTCCTCCTTCCGCAGGGCCTTCTTTGCCCAGTCCCGACCCTGCTCGGCGATCCTCTCCGCCATCTCGTCCCCCGTCTGCCTGAACCCCGCGTCATCGACCACCACCTCGCTGCTCGAGAGGAAGTCGAGGACGGCCCAGAACCCGCGGCCGAGGCGCGTGTCGACGGGGACGTAGTGCTGCCACTCCTGCAGCCGCTCGTCGAACCAGGCCAGGAACAGGGCGGCGCGGTGAGGGAGGCTGCGGCTCTCGAGGAAGGGGATGAACCGTCCGCTGAAGCCCGCGCCGTCCATGTCGAGGAGGTGCCGGTGGCGCCAGTGCTCCTCGAACGGCGCCGAGGCCCTGCCCAGGTCGTACCCTTCCTCTGCCTCGCCCTCGGGCTTGACGGTGCCGCTCCACAGATTGAACATCTCGGACTCTTGCCCGCAGTCGGGCGAGTCGCACTTGTGGATCTCCCCGGCAAACGACACGTTCACGCGAGGGGTGATGGCGTCGCGGCTGCCCTTCCGCGCCTCCTGGTAGCTCTCGTGGACCGCCCGGGCGCGTAGAAACCCCTTCCACCCTCCGTCCCTCGCTATCCCGTCCGAACTCGAACCGCGCCAGAACAGGCTGTTTCCCTTGCGCCCCCATTCAATATCCGTATCCTCTCTGTACTCCGTCTTGTCAACGAAATTCCATGGCGAGGGGAATAAGATGTCCGCGAATCCGTCCACACGGGCCTGGCTGAAAACGGGGAGCAGGGTCTTCGTAGTGGCCTGTGTCTGAGACCTGATAAAGCCGTTTAGGTACGCCAGGTCGGGCTGGTAGCAGATCCCCTGCGGCGGAGGGTTGTGTGCCATCACGGCCCCGCCGGTGGTCAGTTCAGTATGCGGCTCGATGCAATCCATGCAGAGAGTGCTCCAATCCCACCACCTGCTATTGCGCGCGGCCGACTCTGGCGGGCATGCGTCGGCGATCCACTTGTAGTAAAGCTGTTTACGTATGGTCTCGACGAAGTGCGCCGACGTGGCGAAGGAGCCGTCTGGGTTCTTACGAGGTTCCATGAAGTCCTGCGGCCACTCCGTGTTGTTCGTCCATGTCCTGAATGGTCCTCCCTCCACATTCCTGTTCTCCTGCAAGTCCTTCCATCGCTGTGCGACCTTGTTGTGTGCGGCCCTTCCATTTGACCTTAGATCCCGCACATCTTCGTACCGGGGCAGGACGCGGCATTCATCTGCAAGGTTAATCACAAAGTCCATGTCGGGCAGGTACTGAATAAACGGCTCCATCATCTTCTCGATCGAATCCGTCATCCAGTGGTGGGTTCCTGGGATATGAGGCGACTGCCTCAGCGTGCCATTCCTGATCTGCAATGCAGCCATGCCCATTTCCGGGAACTCGGAGAGGTGAGCGGTGCGAGCGCGAATCTCGGCTGGTTCGAGACCCCAGTATGGGATCAGATCGTCGAATATCTGGCCGAAAGAATCGATCACCTGTGAGCTGCGGCTCATTGCAAACTCATACCATTTGTCGAAGTTGGGTGGCGGAGGCAGGAAGTGCCGATTCTGGTACTGCGTGACGGCTTCATCGAGTGTTTTACTCATTTTCGCCTGGGATTGCCATAGATCTGTTGAGGATTGTGCTGCCTGGGTAAGTCTTCTTACAGAAGCAGGGAGAGAGACATGTGTGTTGTTAATGGAAAAGAAGACGGAGAAGGTAATTAACATGGCAATTGCTGCCAGATACCCGAGGACCAAGCAGCGATGCAAGAGCACGGTCGTAGAGGAGCGAGGAGCTGATTTAGAGTAGAAGACCATGGCGAACCAGGCGCCGCTAAGACCTGTCGTGACGGCAGTCGTCTGAAAGATATATGCCTGTGATAATGGAGGAAGGGTTAACGAGCTGTCCAGCGCCCTGAACCGATATCCAAATAAGGTCAGACCTGTAGTCAACATCGCAACCGTTGTTGGATGAAGCCAGGTGAGGAGGGTCTTGGCGCAGGCGATCGCAACCGAGGCCATCAATGTATCCAAAAATAGATCCCGACGCGCAACAGAACTCAAGTGAAGTTGTTGAGTCGAGAAAATCATGAAAAAGAGGGCAATGATAGCCATGAACCCGCTTGCGACGAGGCAGAACACGGAGAAGAACTTGGATATGTCAACTGGCTCGTCGCCAGGACCGCGGCGCAGGCTCGACAACTCAGCAATAATGATACCATCCATAATACACATGACGACCTGGAGGAATGGAGTATGTGCCTCCATATGCTTCCCGACAAGGCAGATTGTGCCCGTTTTCACCCGGGCACTATCAACGGCAAGCATTGCCGCGACGCTCCAAGCCAAAGACAGCAAGCCGTAAGTGAGGACGGGCGACTTCCACTGCTGACGAGGCGCCGACTTGGAGAAAGTCTCGAGTTGGGTGTAATCGGTGGTCCAGTAGCGGATTGCGGCATCGATCAGCAGCACGCAGAAGGGGAGGAAAGCCTGCGATAACAAACAACTCGTGGTTAGTATGCGGACAACCCTTGCGAGAGCAAGTGTCACAGAAACTTGAACTCACAGAAACTCCCACTTGCGCGCATTGCGTGCGGCGCATCGTATACCAAAAAAGACATGATCGCACAACGAGGCAGAGAACGAGACTGGCGAAGGGCCTGCGCACCCTCGAGGAGAGATCAAGGACTGGCCTTGCGACGGATATCGCAACAGCGATTGGGCGTCTGGTTGTCGGCGGCTGCCATCCTTTTGGGAAATATCCGGACTCAGCCAGGATAATGGCGTTTGCTCGCGTACCACTATACAACCTCCATTTTGCGCCCACGGCAGCAATCAAGCTGCTTGACAAGAGCGATGAGATGGAGAAGATGAAGGGATGCTCTACGCAAGGATGATCAGTCAGTGAGCGGGTCATAGGGCTATGTTTCAGGTAGTGGGAGGGATTGAAAGATCGATGATCTCGACAATGGCGAGGTTCATCAAGTCGCAGTTTACTTACCAAACGAGGCACTGGTGTAATATCTAGTCGACAGCGCAAATGTACCGAGGACAAGGCCGCTATATGGGATTGTTTGTGAGAAAGACTGCTCGCTTGGAGGTACACAACAATGGCAAGTGAGTGGAGGGTGACCCGCCCACTTCACACTGTCCGGTAGGGCAGATAAGGACTTACAGCAAGGCGAGGAGGCTTTGGACCTGCCGACCGTAGGAAGCAATCATTCTGGTGGGTGTGACATTGGGGAAGAAAAAACAAGCGCTCGGGCGGGACGAAGAAGCTTTGGAGGGAGCAACAGGACTGGCATCGAGGAAGAGGAAGATGGGCCAGGGTCAGACAAAAGAGGAGGAGAAGCAGTCCCCAGGCCTGCTCGCGTACCTGCAAGCGATCCTAAGTTCCCAACACAGCATGAAAATACAACATTACCCACCGATATGGGCAAACACCCGGGTGGCTGACCCGATGGGGGACCGTTGTCATGGCCGGAACCCCTCCACCAGGTTTTCAAACAGACCTGGTCTCTGAACAGCCCCAAAGGATCAGTGGATCGGACTGTTCGCGAAAGAAGCAAGCTGTACGTGCAAACGCGGACAGCCCACAGTCTCAACCATGATCCATGGATCGTCCCCCATTGGGGCATCCTCTGCCCTCCACCTGTCCCTTAGCCTTCTCGCTTGAAATGGCCATGCGAGTAAGGTCAGTGTTGATTTAATATCTCATTTCGCCGCCTCCCCTGGCTAGTAACTAAACAGGCCGAGACCGTAGGGCTGTATGGTGGCACCAGGAAAATTCTAGTCACTGGCGAGTCGTCTATGGATTGTAGCATATCGCATTCTCACGACATCGAATTAACCTTGCTTGAATCATGTCTTGCCTCGCCTTGGCATCGGAGCGTCAGCAATGTGTCAGGAGTTGGCCTCGATCGTTTCTCCCTAAAGTAACCCTCCACGCCTTCGTCCATCCACGACGCTTTAGCGTACGGAGTCGCTTCAAACTAGTCAGCAACCTAAAAAGGACTGGATCAACGCCACGGCGGAGTTCTTTCTGGAGCACTACGTAAACTGGCCGATCCCCTGTGAGAGATTTGCATGGTGATGTGAGGTGAGAGGGCGAGATACGGAGCAGAGGTGTTGGTGCGACCAGTGCCAACCACAGCCTGAATTGTTCTCCACTGCTGAAATTGCGTGCCTCGCCGCCAGAGCAGCGTGGAAGCACTTCTGACTGATCCGATAACGCGAACCTGGTCGGATGCGACATGGGCAGAGGTGGGCGGAGGCAGTTCTCGACCGTTTGTCGTTGCAGTATTGGCATTCCCTGGCGTGTTCGGTTCGGCGCCCTGCCGATACCAAGACCAAAGTTCCGCGGCTGCTAGACATTAATAAATCGCTGAAGCCAAGAAGCCAAGGGAAGGCCCTGTTACCAGCGCCTATCAATCCGACACGCGGCCTCTGCCAAGTCTGGAGAACCAATGGCGCGATCCCCACTCAGGCCCCTGTTGATCCATCAGCGTACAAACCAGGTTCCCCGTCAAGTGAATGATAAGCTGAAGAAAGTCTGACGATGAGAAGGCTCAGCCTCAGTTTCTCGTGCATCGATATGCAAAGCCTGGCCAAGGCCTCTGGATTAAGACACGGCTGGTGTTGTTGAATTTTTCCACTTTTGGAGCCTAGATTCCCAGGCATAAACCGTCTATTGTGTCACGTGACGGAAAACTCAATTCTGAATACACGTTTAACCTTGATCCAGGCCTTGTGAGATTATTTTTCCGATGTAGCAGAGTACAAAACCGGATTCTGGCTTCCCTCATACCATACAGCATGCTCTGCGCTTCATAGTGAGAAAGTTGAGCAGAGTCGCGTACCCCGCATAGGTTCATTCAAGCGCCCATCACTCAAACAGTGCACTTAGACCATGAATATTGACTAAGTACCTCCTAAATCCTGGCCATCACGCAGACGATGTCCTCTAAAGTTTTCTAAAGGTACAACCTAACTACTGTCTGGGAATCATCTAAGATCTAAAGCTCTGTCTCCACCCCAAGCATATCACTGTCTACAACATTCCGTCTCCCGATAGGAGGTCTGTTCATTACACCAAAGAAAATGAACCTTCCATTACGCTCCCGACGACAAAATCTAGCAAATATCAGTCACAGGTAGTGTCGCTTAGTCCCAGGTGACTCGCTTAGGCGAATCACCAGCTGCTGTGAATGGCTCTCATCCATAAGAGCTCAACATTATTGATCTCTACTTCATAACCCAACTTCTCTTCCAATGTGGACAAGGAATGCATTGATCAGCGAATCCCCGAGTTCGTCGCTTAGCCAGGGACTTCGTGTAACCGTTCAAGTAGCTGCTCGAGTTCACGTTTATGTGGACGATGGCATGCACATGTAACTGGATCTTTACCTGATTTTGCGAATGGACATCCAGGTATCCGGGCGTATTTACACCCGTATGGGGATTCACGTTCCCATTCATGTGCAGTTTCTGGTGGATAGTCGGGTATGAACCCGGATGAAACAAGCTCGTCTTTGAGCTCTAGGGGCATGATTGTAAGTGCCCGATGCCCAGCCATTCGCGCGTAAGAAAGCGCAGTTTCTCCTCGGCCATCTTGGGCGTTTATGTCTACGCGCCCATCATATAACAGCGCCTTGACTGCAGCCATCATTTTGATATGGCCCGACCGCACAGCAAATATGAGCGAGGTCGCGCCAAAGACATCAACCGAATTTGGGTCAACATCATCCTGGCCTAGAAGCAGTTCGATAACGCTCCCATGTCCGTTTGATGCCGCCAGCAATAGCGGACTTCGGCCGTCCTTGTCTCTCTCATCCACGAGAATGCCATCTTGTTCAATCAAACAGCGTACTATAGAGATGTGGCCTGCCTTCGCCGCGACCGATAGCGCTGACTGCCCTTGGTCATCCAAAATATTGAGCGAGTCTCTATTCAGCTCTAGCAGAACTCTCAATCCCTCAAGATTGTCCACGTCCGCAGCAAGATGAAGTGGTGTCCGTCCCTCAAAATCTTGGGTGCAGGAAGAGTATCCTGCATTGACCAAAGCTCGAATAACAGCGGCGTTGCATTTTGTCGTGTTGACTTCGTTACTAGAATGCCGGTGATAGCTAAACACTCTTCGCGCCGCAACGTGGAGTGGACGGCACCCACCACAATAGGGTCTAGTGATACCTAGGCCTGCATCCAGTAGAATCTCGACAATTCCCACGCAATCCATCGCAGCAGCATTGTGCAGCGCTAGACTAGGTTCAACTAATCCGTCAAGAAAAAGATGTTGTGGAAAATGCCAAACGCTATTCATCCAGTCCAGTAACAAGCCAGCGTCTTCTGAAAGTCCAGAGTCGAGAAGTTGTTGCTGGGTAACCAGAATCAGTTCAGGCTGACTTGCAGAGGTGTCGGGGCTCTTCTCCTGGGCGGCCATTATCTCCAAGGCTTTCTCTTTTTCATTGTAGCGAACTTGAAATCGGTATTGAATTGCAGCCATAATAATTGCCGCCACAGGTATATCCATGTTAGGCCAGTCAGACCGAACAACGCCTCTACTCAGCTCGGCATGCCTTCTCCAATGAACTAAAGCATATACAAGAATCGGGTAAGGGGTTGAGAGAATCGCACGTTGCCGAGCACGTTCGTAGTGCGCAATGTACGCCAGGCAACACTTGAGAATCAGCCGATTTCCTCTGAAAGGGTCCAGCCTGAAACGAGGCAATGCCAAATTATTTCCCTGTAGATATTCAAGGACTGAGAAATGCGCAAATTTAACAATTGGGATGGGAGGATTACTGTAATCGTCCTCGCAACTGACGAATCCAGACACCAGTTTCAGGGCCGATCTAGCTTCGGGGAAGCGATCCTCAGGGTTGAAATCGATCCTGAAAGTGTCTTCTTCCGGGGGGACATCGGGATCATAGATGTCAAAAGCAACCAGCTCGGCAACCTCAGCAATTGTCAGAGGCCGCGCCGAATAAGCTAACCATCCTAGAATGGTCAAGGCTTCATCCGTCTTGTGTTGCTGCTCGATGTGTTGCAGCATGCGCCCGTATGTCTCTTCTAAATCTTTGGGAAGCCTTTTAAGAACTCGTCGGATATCCTTTTCTCGTTCCTCATTAGAGAGTGCCTCTAACTGCAGGGCGGCCCATCGAAATACACCATTGGCTTTTGTTGTAATATGGATAGTTACATCTGTTTTCAGCTTATCTGACCAGCGTCGAAATGATGGCTGGAGCATTGTAGCCTCCAGGTGCATTCCGATATCGCTGTTGACTCTGTAGACGTCGATGGGCAAGTTTGTAACCTCTGTTGATCCATCCGAAGACATCATGTTCTCTATATGGGCTTCTGGCCGACTGCTAACCAGAGTATGTACAGGGTTGTCGCCATTCTGCGTAATGTTGATCAAAAATTCCAGGACAGGGCCCTGGAGTTTCTGTGTAGCTTCATCCAGGCCATCAATGAGAATGAACACATCCTTGGCTTCCCGTAGAAGTTTGATCAGAGTCGACTCCAAGTCCGAGATTCTAGGCTGAGCAAAAGGGTGATATTTCGCAAAAAGTTCCTGAAAAGCCTTGGGCACGATAAATCCACCTTTTTCAGTGGGATGCACCCGGATCAAATCTCGTAACGTGGCAGTGAGCACAGAACAAACAATCTGGAATGCGTCGATGGCGTCTGGGCTCAGGAAGGAGAAATAGAAGTAGCAGCATGTGCCGTAATTCTTTTCCGCAATCTCATCAATCACGCTTGAACATAAGATACTTTTCCCTGCGCCCGCTATGATAATAGTTCAAGTATTAGCAGCGTCAAACGAGAAATATAGCGGTTGACTTGCCCTTTCCATTTAGCCAGGTAAATGACCCCTTAGTCTGTCTCCACGTTTGGAAATGGTCATCCAGAAACCATTTTCCAGTCTCTTTGTTCAGACGCTGACTAGCAGCGGCATAGTGAAGTCTTCCACTGTCAAAACGCCGAAGCCAATTCAGATATTCATTCTTCTTCGCCTCGGTAACCCAATCTGGTGAGTTTTGTTTCGTTAGTATCAGTTTTGAAGTAGGTATTGAAGAGAACTGTGTTACCATCGCGGCGCATTTTCGATTCAACAAACAGCCGTAGTCGGCGCTGTACATGATCGCCTCCTAGATAAACCTCTGTGGCCGCCTGAACAGTGTCCAACTTGTCAACATCATCGAGCTTGACCCCGTCTAACCCTCGATCTACGCTGAATCTGAAATATCGGCCTTGAAGTCCATTCACTATATGGTTCTCGGAAAACCGACGTTCCGTCTCTTCGGTTTCAGTCGCTGTCGTTATAAGTGTCTTCCCAATTTGCCGAAGATCATCGCCGAACGGACGAGGTTTACGTTGCCCGGTGCCGATACTCACAACACACTGGATACGCTGACGCAAGTCGCTCCATCTGGAATTTGCCTCCCTCCAAACTTCTTCAACCGGGTTATTGCATCCAGTGGCGCCGTCGACGAAGGTTTCATTGCCAATTTTGATTGGGTCAAAGAAGCCAGATGCTGCCGATGTCGCCCGGGCAGCCTCCCATATCTTGCATTCTCTGATTGATAAGTTGTCAACAGCGGTAGGATTCTTGTATGAGCGAATCCTGATAGTTGCATTCAACGACTTAGCTTGAGTGCAAACAAAACTAGCTTTCTGAATTAGCCGAAAGCCAAACATTAGAGCGCCTCGGTGGAGATGAAGGCCTCACATTTTGCAGCCATCCAGGGAGCTCAAAATTGCAGCATTACCATCTCCTTCGAGATCTTTCGCTTCAGACTTGAACGCATCAGCGAGCCCTTCGGAGTCATACTTTCCATTTGCGCCCATAAAGTCTCTTCCTCGGCCCAAGAGATTCATTTTGTGTCTTTTGATCTGAAATACACGCGCGGATAGCTTCTTGTATTTGTCGATGCATTCATCGACACTCATTCTAAGCCTTCCTAGCATTATCGCAATGAGGCTTGGCTGGTTGTTAGCGAGCCACGAACAAGGTGGTTCCTTGAGCTACATACCCTCCTGTACTCGTGCCCCCGATCAAATCGAAGTATTCGCATGGTTTAGGCGGATTTTGTGAGTCAACCTGTTTCATTAAATGTCGTAGAATGATGAGAGATGATAGTCCGCGAATTCCCCCGCCATCTATTTTTTATGTCATCTTCAGACTCGTTCACTTAAAGAGAACATACATACCTAGCGAGAGCAACCTGATGGGCTGGGAATCTTCCATTTTAGCCCACGTCAACCAAAGATTTGAGGCCAAAACTACCTGAAAATCTCAGGTTGATCTGACTTTTTGCATGCGGGGAGGAGGCTGCATCAGTGATGATTCGTGGCACTCTGTTTGTGGTGCTGCATTTCTTATCACGTGTCATGCAGCCTTCCTGCACTTTCTTCTATTTATTGAATGATACAGTAGCCCTCAGGGAGAGAAGCCATCCGCAGCCCCGTGCCATCTTTTATCTGGTTGGTTTGCTCGTGGTGTGCCACACACACCAGCCTCTCGCCCCCACCCACCAGCATCAGTATCATTCGTATTATTGTCATCAATTCACCGTTCAAGGTGGTAGTGTGTACGCCTTGTCTGCCTACCGATCCACCATGAATCGACGAGGGGACACAGGCAGAGAGGCCAACGGACATTCCACAATGAGTCTCACCCAACAATCATTACACCCTTCAACAACAGCTACCCCATTCTAGTCACTCCGTACATACAGAAGCGGGAAGGATTTCTGCTAGCCCTACCTTTTACAATTGATGATGACGCTCTTGCCACCGAATTCATCGAAATTTAAACACTCATCTGGCTTGTTTGAGATTGACTTCTTTCCCCTACTCTGTTCCGTCTAATCATTGCCCATATCTGATATCGTGAAAATTGTACGTCTTACTATTCTTCCAAGAAACACAAAATAAATAAAAATTAATTCGCTCATCCGATCCATTCTCTTGAGGCCTTAGATGGACCATTGGGTTTCTAGTCCCGTAAGTTATCTAGCACACTAAGGCTGGTGTATTCCGGAATTTTGCTGATCAGGGGAAAGCAAGCAGCAGCGTGAAAGGAGAATAGGTTCTAAGCTGATACCTTGAGTCCCTTGTCTTCCTCCTCTTCAGCGGCACAGAATTGTCGATACACACTTCCGGGGGGGTAAACTTTCATGTCACGACACTTGACTGAATCGTACTCTTTGATCTTGTGCCTCCAAGCCCTCCACTTCCACTCGTTCGGACTCCGAAACTGACCAAAGTCGTGGTAAGTCTGTATTTCAACCCGATAAAATACCTCACGCCCCGGGCAGTTCCGTGTAATCTCTACTGTGTAGTCTGTTAGGCACCCCGAGCACGACCCGTGAACCACACGTCCTGGCTCCTGCAGGAGCCTACAAATTTCCCTCACATCTAACCCAGCAGCTCTTTCAGAGGACATCGCGAGATATGGCAGAGCTGATGTTGTTGTATGGTGGCAGATATCGTAAACTCCTCTATTCAGTTTTGACATCATGGATATTACATTAGTCGAGTCCATTATATGCCTGCCAGAAAGATAAAGACTATCGCATATAATCCTCACGGAGTAACGACTCGACCATGTAATAACCCCATACTGATTGTCAAAATCCTTGTGTGAAGTCTCATAGCAGAGTAAGTCAGGGTCAAGACCAGCTGGGGCCCCGTAGAAATGGCGATTCATAGCCGCCCGCCCATGATGATATGCAAAGTGGTTTTCCGCAAAGATTGGTGAGTACAGGTAGCCGACACCTAAACAGGCTGGAATATTAGGTTCCAGAACAATGTAGGGGTCCTCATTTGGCTTATTGAGAGAAGAAAACTTGTGCAGTCTGATACAAATAGCACAGTAGTGGTGTGTTGCCATAAGATCTCGCTCTAGACGGAGGAGGAAGTCTTCTTTATCCTCTTGTGATACCAGCCCAGTATCGAAGACACTGTTGGAGATAAAGTGCAGCGGCTTGCACGTGAGGGCTGCTGAGAGTTTATCAAGGCGAGGGAGGAAGGAGATAATAAGAATAACCAATTCCTCTGGTAGGTCAAGGAATGGCGACTTGGGCCAAGGATGCGTGGATTCCGCAATATGGCTTGTTATCGGCTTGCTCCAGAGCTCTTGAAGGCATCGCGAAATCCACGTGCATAACATCGCAAGGCAATGGAGAGGTCTAGACAAAATATGAAAATATAGATGGGCGAGATGGAGCGGCAATAGAATGGCGATGTAATGATGTAAACTGCACGACTGCAGGATTTGCTGTTCTCGTATTTTTCAATATATCCTTTCAAGCCCCAAACTCTATCTCGACATTTACCTGCGGCCACACTACTGATTTTTAGTAGGCTACAGAGTAAGTAGGTATAATTGGAAGAAGTGGTGTGACAATGGGTAATCTCATAAATATTTATATAGGATCTCTAAAAGTAGGTAGACAAAGTACTACTCAAGCTACTACTACCTATATTTTAGCCTTCTTTGAGCGGCAATTCTCGGAAACATGCAACTTTTTCATCCATGATATGAAGCTATCGGAAAGCCCAGCCTGTGAGAGAAACTTTACTCTTATCTCAATAGACTCGTGGACACGCCTGTGCGATGAATCTACCAAGTTGTGTATGTACGTACGCGTTAGTTCGTTGGAGAAGGCATGCCGAGCTAAGTACATACTCATATAGCATGTAGGGCTCACTGAAGCTCCCAGCCCCTGTTCTTTCCGCTATTGCTGTATGTTGTCTCCCGGTGCTGGATCTGACAAGGGACTTGAAGCTCAAAGGTGAAGGTGGAAGCTGCGAGACGAGTGCTGAGTACCTGCCTGGGTACTCAAATCATAGGATCCAAAGCAAACACTGTGCGGCAATAGTGCCGACACGTGTCGAGTGCGAAAGTTTTCACTCCTGTAGAGCAGTTTCTTCATGTGATAACCTGTCCATCCTCCTACCTGCCCGGCGTCCTTTGGTCCTTCCTCACCATTCTCGCTCAAAGTATACAGTTAAGCTCCAGGAAGAAGCACCGATTCAATAACAATATGTACGCCAGGAAGTAACGGCAGAAGTCATAGCCCCTCGACAGCTACCTATTTCTAGCGAGCTGTCCAATGTTTTTCTTGTTCCTTTTTATTTATTCCAAGTCAACTCAAAACTTATCCAACTTTGTTTTTACAATGAGTGACTAGGTAGTCTACTAACAATTCCACTGCCGACAGTTTAGCGACAATTCTTGGGGTAGTTGTACCCTTTCTTCGATTCATCTATCACAAATTCTACCCTCCTGTCGATTACGGGCGGGTGCTATTCTTCGATCAAGCGAAACCGAGGCGAATCAAACTCTGAGAGATCAAAAGGACAACCTCGAGACGATCCTCAAGACGCAAAATAAGCCCCTTCAGAAGCAAAATACCATCCGCAAGAAGGAACTTGACCAGCTCAAGGGGAATAGCTGCGTGGCCAGAGAGATCTTAGCCGATCTTGCTCTTCTCCCGACCGAGGCTGATGTAGCACTGTGACTGGAGCCTTTAGCTAATGAACCTACCTAGCTTCGAGCATTCGTCCATTGGACCTCCCAGAGAATCTCTCTGATGATGCCTAAGTAGCATCCCTTTTCGCCGGAAAGGGCCTCCGCTCTCCGAAGAGTTGGAGGGCCCCTGTGAAACCCGTCCGGGCACTCCAGGGGTCCCCCGACGAAGGGATCGCATCTTGACGCGATGTCGGGGCTCAACAAGTGTTGCTTAGACGATCCCACTTATTGAGCCTCCAATCCATCCACAGGTACGCAGGACAGATTCATGTCTGGTGCCTATTGTCTGATACCCAAAAGGGAGGCTAACACTCATCTTCTTAATGCTCTCGATTCCGTCGGCCCCATCAAGAGATTCACCACCTTCGAGCCACGCAATCATTGGGTTCTCCATTGTGGATACGAGGTTGGATAATTTCAGTCAATTTCTCAGAACGATTGCATAGGCCGTTGTGCTTTGTTCAAAACGTCGTTGGTAAATCACTGGTTATTTGTGTCGCTGTTAGATAGAGGCGTCAAGTGGCCGTCATAAACGCAGGGGCCGTAGAGTCACCCCGATAAAATTGTTGTGGCAGTCACATAATAGTTTTTCATTGTGTTATAATAATTACTCCTTTCGTGTACAAATAGTCAATACAATCTAATTGAACACTCAATGACTCATTACTTTGGTGCACTATTATTTCTGGTTGATGGGATCAGGGCTCAAATGAAGAAAACTGAGATATAAAAACACATTTGCAGTCCTTGTTCCTCTGACGTCCTTTTGACATGGCTATCGCCAATTTAAAGCGACAATGAGTTATCGAAACCGAGAAAACTGACATTACATTTTGTTTCCACGATTTATCTTAGTTTCACAGATGCTGGCATGTTCTTTTCTCATGAAGAAAATCGGTATAGGGTAGGTTAGTTGGACCGATTGGAATTTGAAGATCTCAGCAAATCGCAGCCTCAGCCACAAAGCCGACTCTCAAACTCATCGCAAACACTTTATCATCTCCATCTCTGCCACCTCGTCCCATCTAGCATTTTCATTTATCTAAGGGTTTATATATTCGCACTGCATCTCGTGTCTAGGACCAACAAGCGCCTTGCTCACCAGGCTACATAGATATCCATCAAATTTAGCCCTTCGCAAACGGAAGCAGCCATGGCATCCGAATCTACGCTTTTGGACCCCTCCATCTTTGATTATCTCAAAGACAAGCTGGAGGAGGAATCCCAGATCCGCGAGACGCTGACCCAGATCATCCAGCGCCTTGAGCGCTCCGTCGCCTCTGCCCAGGCCTTCCTCTCCCGCGTTCACTCGACACCCCGCAGTCGTTGTGAGTCTTCACTAGATTCTGTCGCTTTCCCTTATCCAAGCTTTCTTGGTAAATTTATCCGAATTGCCAATTAACTAAGGTAAAATTCAGATCCTACGTTGGTAGCACAGGTCGAGACAGCCATCCAAGAACAAGTCGCCGTCATCGGCGAGCTCAACGAGCTCGCCTCCAAGCACCCCTACTACAAGTATGATCCCCCCACTACCCTGATGAACCACCCAAACCCTCATCATAATACTAACCATCCACCAGATACAACTCCAAATGGTCCCGCGCCGTCCAAAACGCCATCTCCTCAGCCGTCCTCACCGCCTGGCTCGGCGGCCTCGCCTCCGTGGGCACCCCCTCCCTCGGCCGCCTCCTCACCCTTGAGGAGATCGG